GAGAGAGAGAGAGAGAGAGAGAGAGAGAGAGAGAGAAAGAGAGAGAGAGGTGTTTGTGTACATGAATGTATACATGTATGTATGTATGTATGTATGTATGTATGTATGTATGTATGTATGTATGCATGCATGTGCAAAAGTCCACCTTATTAACTTAAAACAGGGTCTCTTACTGAGCTGGAAGCTTCACCATTTCTGGTGGACTGGCTGGGCAGCAACCTCTCAGGATTTGCTTGTGTCTGCTCCTCAATGCCACTGTTACAGGTACACACAACCATGCCTGGCTTTTTATGTGAGTGCTGGGGATTTGAACTCAAGTCCTCATGACTGCACAGCAAATGCTTTTATCTACTGAGCCATCTCCCTAGTTGATAGTGATGTTATCTTGCTTGCATTTAGCCATCTCCTGGTCAGCAGTCTGGCTTCCTTTGTCTTCCAGTGTCTGGTTAGTTGTTGTTTTCTTGCTCAGGAGTACAAGATGCTGTCTCCCCAGCACAGTAAGGACCAGATCTTCAAGTGCCCCTTCTTATATTCACCAGTAGTCTTTAGTCAACTTAGGTGATGTTCAGCCTGGATCTTCCCACGGTCCCATCGGTTCAGAACTCTCTGGTGTGTTTGAATTACACCTGACATTCTCATTATCCAGTGATGATTTCCTTCTGCTTCATTTGAACACTTATTCCAGAAAGTGTTTCCAAAGCCACCATCGAGTTAGCCATTCATGGAATAATGGGATATCTCGCTTGGCCATCAGCAAGCTCTTATGATTTCTCCAGAGGTTAAGGAGGGTTAACGCATAGGCTCACACTGCCAGCTGCTTCCACGCTTTGCTGATTTGAGACCCTGAGGATTGTGACCTGAATTTCTGAGGCATTAAGTAGAAATAGTTCTTCATTATGGCTCTGAAACACATGTTTGTAAGTTGGATGGACTGCAGCAAACCCACTGATGGAGAGAAATAACAGTGTCTTTGAGCTTCCCCCACAGACTCCAAATCAAGAGTCTGGCCCAATGCTGAGCCCCACCAGGGAAGGATCCTATCTCCCACATATCTGCTTTCTGATGGCCAGGTGGTAGGGACTGGGACCCAACCACAGGGCCAGTCTATTAGAAGATTAATAAGAGTAATGACTATTCATATCAGAGTCCCAGTAGCTCAGGAGTCCTTGTTACCAAAGGGTAATAGGCAGAGGCTGTCCTGGGAAGAGGGCCCAGGAAGATGCACTCAAAATCTGGGAAGTGTCTTAGGATGTCAGCTGAGGAGACCATGGGCATCCCTGAAAGTCAGATTCTATTTCCATCAGAAAACATTCTAGAACTTATCAGCCCCACATTCTACACTCAGATCTGAACATGAGGAGCCATACCCCTGACTTCCCATGGTAGGTATTTTGCAAATGTCTCCCAGTTTCAAAGCCTTTACAAAGCTTGGTTCATGCAGCTTCTGTTGGTAGTTGATAGAGCCATGCCAAGAAAGTCAGACAAACTTTGCTTGTGTGCATGGAAAAATGTTTCAGGAACATGGATGTAGGAACATTGGCCAAAGTGGGAACAAGGAGATATCACTCCCAGCATTGCTCATTCCCCAAAGTTCAAGGCTGGAGGAAGAATTCTCAGTGAGGCAGCCAGTATCTGCTCTGAAGACTGCCACAGCCAAGCAGCACCAACCTTGCCTTAAAGCCATAGACAGGTTTTCTCCTGAAGTCCAAATGAGGACACGGACAGGGCCATGTCCCCTATAGTGGCTCAGGGATGCTCTGCTCCCTGTTTTTCTCTTAGTTTTGGTCATTGTTGCCAACCCTTGGCTCTTGTTGTCTCACAGACATATCATGCCTTTCCTCTGCCTTTAGATCCCCTGGCTGGAACTCACCCTGTGCCTGTGTCTCCCATGCTGATAAGGACACCACTCCTATCAGAAAGTATTCTAAGCTTTCTCTTCTCAGTACCATCTAATCTTAACTTCTTTTCTTTGTAGTGACTCCATTTCTAAATATGCCTCATCCCTAGTGTGGCATGGGGTTGACCTTGAACAGATAATCTGGGGAACCTAGTTCAGTTCCCAGCAGTCCACCATCCAGCATGGTGCCCAGTATGGACTGGGGTGTTAAATGAGTCATTGGTCATCATCCTTTATGCAGGACTCAGTTCTGTGCTCTATGGGGATGGGCTTGCTTGGCTAGGTGGACGGTACCTCGTTTGCTAGAGTATGGTACACTGCATTGCACATACTAGGTACTGAAGAAATACATAGGAAGACATGGATAAGTATCCAAAGCTCTTTGCTCCAGTCAGGGATTTAGCCCAAGATGTTTCACCACCTCCTCCATGCCCACCTCTTGCCATGTTGTCTCTGACCAAGTCCATGGTCATTGTCCCCTCCCAGGAAGCTCTGCTGTGCGGCCATCTCACTGTCTGAAGAAGACCTGCTCAGGGTGAGGCAGGAGGCCCAGGGCTGCTTCACTCAGCTGGACCGGAGTTTGGCCCTCCCCAGAGTCCGGGCGCGAGTGCTGCAGCAGCAGTTACAGATGGCCTGGCGGGAAGCAGAGTTCCGGAAACTGGACCAGGCCCTGGCTGCGCCTGAGCTGCAGGTGGGAACCATGTCTGGAATGCCCACTGAAGAAATGACTGGGGACCCCTGGGGTTTTCTTCCTCCATTGGCTCTGATCTCATCATCTCCCTGTCCCCCATTCACTACTCTCTAGACATGGTGGCCTCTGAACACTCCTAAACCCTCTCAGTTTGCCCTGATCTTAAGGTCTGCAGTAGACCATGATGGTGCAAAGCCCAGAAAGAACAGTGACTACCAGCAGCCTTGAGTGTCAGCCTTCTCCCAGCTTGTTTCTTCTGAGCATTGTACAGGGTATCTGGGAGTCACCTAATTACCCCTGCTTCCAGCTCACACCACTTTCTGATTCAGGGGTCCAAAAGGCCCTTTGTATGTAGCACAGATGTGGGTGGTGCTCATCTCAGCTTGGCTGAGTCATGAAAAAGGGCTCTCACACTGTCCTAGAGGCTGAGAACTGACAGCCACCTTTAGTGACACTTCTTATATGCATTCATCCTCCAGATTGCTGTGGACCCACACAGGATAGACCTGACCCAAGGCTACAACGCTGCTTGGCCTTTTACATCTTGTCATGGTGTCCTTGTTCCACCTAGGGCATTCTTTAGACTACTCAGGACCTTTGCACCTCCCATCCTAGGCTCAGCCTCTGCTCCTAGGAAGCCAAACATAAGATGAACCCCTTGAACTCTTGGCTTCCTTTGCCTGCAGAGTGCTTTGTAGTCTAGCAAGTGTCAGCCCAGTATGGCCTCTGCAAAGGAGCCTGCCCTGAATGCCTATCTAAACCCACTTCTCATGCAGCAGTTGTCACAAAACTGTCTCCCCACCACCATGGCCTGAGGAGGGAGTTTTCAGTTTTAACCATGCACTCACCTCCCTTTGGCTTGGAAAGAAGCCAGTGCCTCCTCTGACCTGTCATTTCCCACAGTCCAAGACGAGAAAGCTGCGTTCCAAGGGCAGAGGCAAGGCGGATCTTCTGAAGAAGATCTTGGAGGATAAGATCCGTCTCTTCGAGGAGCGGACCCCTGAAGACCTGGCTGACAAGGTAGGGCTGAGCTCTGGCTACAGCGTGCAGAGCTTAGAGGACAGAAGCCGCCCTTCGCCACCCAAGCCTCAGGCCAGGGAGAGACCAGTCCTCCAAATGGGGTCCATTCCTTGAAAGTGCTCTGATTCCTTCCTCAGGAAACCCTCTTTCTTCCCTTCTCTGCCTGGAGATCTCCCATCATCCCTCAGCTTCTTCTTTCATGGTAGCTGCCATAATCTGTGTATGCAATATTCTTTACATCTCTCTAGGAGTGTGTGTGTGTGTACATGTGTTAACCTAACATGTCATTCCTCAGGAGCTGTCCACTGGGACTTGGGTTTGAGTCTGACAGGTTATGCTGATTGGACAGTGAACCCCAGGGATGTTCTTTCCTTCTCCCCAGATTCCCTGTGACCCACGACACATGGTGTTTGTCATGGGTTCTTCAGATTGACCTCAGGACCTCTCGATGTTGAGGCAAGCACTTTACAATTGAGCCATCCTGCCTGCCCCCACCCCATGTATCTGCACAGCCTCTCCTCTTGTGACTTCTTATTTGCCCTGGGTATGCAGCAGTACACCCAGTCTGGGTTCCTCTTTAGCAGATCAAGTAGCTTTGTCCTCTGCTCTCCTCAGCTATTGTCTTCATCTTCACGTATCCTCCCTTCCAAGAAGCCGCCACAAGCACCGTGCTGTTTCCCACTCACCCCTCCTCCACCTCTTTCTTAACTTTACACCCAGCATACTGTCCGTCAGTGGGGGGAGTCCACCCACAGTGGGATGTTCTGTAGATGGGACATGGGATTCCTGGGAGGTACCATGCTAGAATGAGCACTGTGTCATGGCTGCTGGGATTCTCATGTGCTCCGTGCTCCATAGAGGGAGTGTGTTCAGAGAGAGTGTGGCCACACATCAGAGCTGCTGGTTTTTCATGCTCTATGCCTAGGTTTTGGTGGCTTTTAGAATTAAAATGTCATTATCTTTTGATTTTTTTTGATACAAGATCTCACTGTGTTGCCCAGGCTGGCCTTGAACTAGTGATCCTGCTGTCCTAGCCTCCTGAAGACTAGGATTACAGCTGTGTGCCACCATGCCTGGTGTAATTTGGTGATTTTAGCATGGGTGTTTGGGGACATAGGTGTGTGGTCTGGACCTGAACTCTAGAATTTGCTCTGAGTCTGGTTGATTGCTCCTTTTAGGTATAGTCATGGGGTTAACATCTCTAAGGACCTGAGACTCATGCCCCTCCCATGTCAACATTAACTGTTGTCGCAGAATGAGACAAAGACAGGGCCGAAGTACACACCGACAGGAAGGTGTCTGAATGTTAACATGGCTTCTGGGTCAGTGATGGAAGGATCTGTACTGACTAAGCCAGGCCTTCCAAAGAAAGATGTTGAGAGATACCATCACTGAAACCTTTTACTTATTCTTTATTTGTATGTAGAAGCATGCAGATGCAGATGTCTATGCCTGTGTGTTGAAGCCAGAGAACAGCCTCTGGGGCATTTCTCAGGCACTGTCCGTCTTTTGTTGTGAGAAAGTGTTTCTTGGCCTGAAGCTTGCCAAGTAGGTGAAGATGGCTGGCCAGTGAGCCCCAGGGACATGCCTGTCTTCATCCTCCCAGCACAGGGATTTCAAATGCATACTGCCATGCCTGTTTTTTGTTTTTGATTTTTTTTTTGGATTTTTGTTTGTTTGTTTTAGTTTCTTTGTTTGTTTTTATTTAATTTTTTTATTTTACATACCAATCCCAGTTCCCACTCCCTCCCCTTCTCCTCCCCCAACTCCTTCCTTTCTCACCCCCCGTATCTACTCCTCAGAGGAAGTAAGGCCTTCCTGGGGGAGTCAACGAAGTCTAGCATACCAAGTTGAGGCTGGACCAAACTCCTCCCTTCTGTATCAAGGCTGAGCAAGGTATCCCACCATAGAAAATGGGCTCCAGAAAGTCTGTTCATGGCCCTAGGATAGGTCCTGGTGCCACTGCTAGCACCACCCCCCTCAACAGATCAAGCCACATAACTGCTGCCTACATTCGGAGGGCCTAGTTTGGTCCCATGCAGGTTCCCCAGCTGTCCGTCCAGAGTCCAGAGCTTCCACTAGCTCGGGTCAGCTGTCTCTTTCCCCATCATTATCCTGACTCCCCTTGTCCATGTGATCCCTCCTCCCTCATTTCACCTGAGCTCCAGGAGCTCAGCCCAGTGCTTGGCTGTGGGTCACTGCATCTGCTTCCATCAGTTACTGGATGTAGCTTCTATGATGACAATTAGGGTAGTCACTGGTTATAGGGGAAGGCCCTTTTAGGTACCCTCTCCACTATTGCTAGGAGTCTTAGCTGGGGTCATCCTTGTGGATTCCTGAGAATTCCTTCCTAACACCATAATGGCTCCCTCTATCAAGATACCTCTTTCATTGCTTTCCTACTGCATTCCTTGCCCAACTCAGTCTTCTTGATCCCTCATGTTCTCATCCTCCATCCCCTCCCTTTTAACCATCCTCCCAGTTTACCCAGGAGATCTTAACTAATTTCCCTTCTTAGGGCCCTCCATGTGTGTCCCACTTAGGCTCCTTCTTTTTACCTAATTTCACTGTGGTTGTGGATTATAGCCTGGTTATCCTTTTTTTACATCTAATATCTACTTCTGAGTAAACACATACTGCGATTGTCTTCCTGGGTTGTTACCTCACTCAGGATGGCCTTTTCTCGTTCCATACATTTGCCTTAAAATTTCAAGATGCCATGTTTTTTCACTGCTGAGTAATACTCCATTTTGTAAATGTACCAAATGTTCTTTATCCATTCTTCAGTTGATGGCATACCTGGGTTTTTAGATTTGTTTTTAATGTGGATTCTAGGCCTCGAACTCAGGTCTTCATGTTTGCAAGGCAGTCACTTTACCAACTCCCCATTCTACCTGTGGCCTTATATAACAGGTCAGCCTCACAAAGATCTGTTTCACTCTGGCAGATGCCCATAGCATAGGCATCCTTGGGACTCAAACAGCATTACTGCTCCTCCAGAATTGAGATAGATTTCCTCTCTCTGTGCTTGTGTGGTTTGTGTTTCTTCAGGGTAAATGTGAGGGTGATGGCAACCCCTCCCCGCAGAGGTGAGGGCCACACTGAGTTTACTCTCTCACTATAGTGGTCAGGGTTCTCCAGAACCACAGTCAATGTGATACACAGACAAAGGCAGCTAGACCAGAGGAAATTTTCAGGCTGGGGAACCCTGACTTGGAGGAGTAATTTATGTGGTTCAAAGGCCAAAGGCTGGAGTTGCACTGAGTCTTGGAGTCTGGAGCTCCTTGTGAGGTAGAACTGATGTATGGGTAGGAGAAGGGTGGTCCAGCTTGAGAGGAGAGTGACTTTATCCTTCCTCTGCTTCTGACTCTCTTCAGAACCTTGTGTGTGTGTGGAGGTGCTGATGCCCATCCAGGTAGGTGAAGGGATATTCTATTCCATTTGGATGGTCTCAGCACTCATCTCTCCAAACACACAGAACCCTGGGCACCCCTCAGCTCGCCAGGTAGTACCTGCAGTGAACATCAGGATCACATTTCAGGTCCAGGATGTCCTTTCTCCTGCCACTGTCTGGAACTCCTGTGTTGAGAAAGCAGAGAATATACACAACTCTGGTTGTTGTGTGGCATGATAAGAAGTGGATTCTGTCTACACCATGTTCTTATTGTTGTTTGTTGTATGTACATGTTCATGTATGCATGTGTGTACAGGTCAGCATGCTCCTGCGTGCACATGGCTGTCTGTGCAGTAGAGGAAAGGATGATGCCCTGTGTCTTCCTCATGTACTTTCTACTTTAAAAAAAAAAAAAAACAAGCTCTCTTTCTGAACCTGAAGTTCTCTGCCTCTCCAACACTAGGGTTCTAGACACACACTGTCCTGCCCAGCTTTTATGTGGGTGCTGGGGATGTGAATTCAGGTCTCCAGCTTGTACAGCAAGCACTTGGGTCACTGAGACCTACACCTTCCCATTATCCATCTGTTACCTACTTATCTGTAGATCTGTCAAGCATCTCTTTCTATATTCCCCTTAACACTGAAACTTTAAGGGCCCCCATTTGGAAACATAGAAATCATCATTGCCTTTCACCCCAGTATAATGTCTCAGCACACCTGGAAGTGTTAAACCCATTTAACCCCCTCATCCATTGGGCACATAGGTTCTGAACTTGATGTCTCAAGCAAGCTGGAATCTCTGCATGAACTGTTCACCTACTGTAGTGAGGCACAGAGGAGCCGCCACTGTGCATCTCACAGATGAGAAGATGGGGGACCGAATGATCTTCCAGCTCCTGTCACAGAGCTGTGAGCAGCAGAGCAGAGCAGGAAGCTTTGTACTGTGCATCCTTGCTCATTAGTGGGTCCATTTGATGGACACCTCAGCTCACCCTTGGCATGCTCCTCCTGCTGCTTTTGATCAGCGGACATGAGAATACTCATAAATATTCCACAGGAGCATGTAAAGCTAAATGAAGATGACAAGACCATGGTTCCCTTCACCCGTTGTTTCTTAGTTTGTTTTAATGACATACACCTCCCCCATCTTCACTCACCCATTCATTATTCATTGACTGTTTCCAGATTTCAGGATGTGCCACACATGCACACTTCCTCAAGGCTATCACAGCTGGGGATTAACTTCATTCCTGCTCATCAGCCGCATGCCCCATTGTGCATCTACAGCTGCCCGGCCTTTATGCCAAGTGGCTGGTATTTTCTGGGACACATCTTCAAGGTCATTTTGACTTCACAGGCCATTACTGTTCAAGAGTGTTGTGTTCATCTTCAGGTGGCCTGACAGGAGAGAGAGGGTGGCATGGGTCTTTACAAATGTCTGTCTTAGGGTGGGGGGAAATGCTCACACAGCCACAAAGCCCAGGAAGACTCCAGCTAGTTCCTTTGTTCTTATGCCTATTTTATCCCTTGAGGCAGCTGGTGCATCTGCATTTCCCTGAAGCACTGAGGGAGAAGTGTCTTGGCTTCCTACAACCCCCAAACAAAATCCAGACTCCATTATTTATATTCATGGGACTGGGGATGGAATCCAGGTCTTTCCTTGTGTGTGGAAAGTGCTGCACCACTGAGCTAGCCTTAGCCCATCGGCTAATGTTTCAGATTACCATGATATTGTGTGTGTGTGTGTGTGTGTGTGTGTGTGTGTGTGTGTGGAGAGACCAAAAATCAAACACAGGTGTTCTTCCTCAGTCACTGTCCACCTAGCTTGTTGAGTAAGCCTGGCTGGCTGGCCAGAGCACCAGGGATCTACCTGTCTCCCCTGCCTCTCAACATTGGGATTATAAGCACTTGCCACCATACACAGCTTTTTTACATGGTTTCTTGGGAGTGAACTCATGTCCTTATGCAGGCAGAACTTAAGGACTGGGCCATCCCCCAGCCCCACAGCAGACTTGGATGCTTGGGGGGAAAAATCTTCTCCTTTTCTACACTGTTACTTTAAAATTTTATCTTCATAATATCTGTCTAATTTATACATATATTCTTTTAAGGAGTCAAGTAATTATAGAAAGCTTGTGCTAAAAATAAAGAAGAAAGGAAGGACGGAAGGAAGGAAGGAAGGAAGGACGGAGGGAAGGAAGGAAGGAAGGAGGGAAGGAAGGAAGGAAGGAAGGAAGGAAAGAACAAAAACTAGAACAGGCCTCCCAGACACACACATAAATTCTAACTTCACATCAGGTCATTTGAATTTCAGTCATGTATCTCTAAACTGTACGCTCACCTTACTGCTTCTTGATTTCTCTGCTTTGGACTATCTGCTTGTTTTTCTCTACGAAAAGTGGAAATTTCATTTCAGTGCCACACAGAAGCCCTTACTTTACATAAACGGGTGTTTATGATTTCTATTATTGACACCACATCTTTATCCACAAATGAATCATGGAGTAAACCAATATGACCTTTTGTTTTTCCTGGAGTTAATGTCCATTTGTTTCTTTTTCTTTTTTCATTTTTTTTCTTCACTGTGTTCACAACTAACCTATTTTGCTTCCTGACAGTTGACCAAATGTTCTATCAGGACCATCTTTTCAAAGTCATCTCCCTCTGTTTCCCTGCCATCCTGCCAGGTTCCTACTGGACATGGGTGTCTGGGCCTTGCACACAGCTCCTTTCATGGTCTCCTTTTAGGTCCTTATTTTATTCCCTTCCTTCCTTCCTTCCTTCCTTCCTTCCTCCCTCCCTCCCTTCCTTCCTTCCTTCCTTCTCTCCTTCCATTCATCCTCCTTTCTCTTTCTACTTTCCTCCTTTTTTGTCATTTTGTCTTGTTTGTGAACGACAGCCTAGGTTTCATCTCGCAAGCCTTTGGACTTTTCATTTACGTTTTCTGTCTTAGTGTTTGAGTTCTCTTCTGTGCTGTGTTCTCTTCCTAGAGTTAAGAGTATGCTTTTATTGTTTATGGCTGCTATGGCCTCCTATCTTTCTCTAAGAATGTGACTCATGTTTAAAGGTTTATTTATGGTATTTTAGGGGTATATGTGTTTATGCCTACTTGTTTGTATGTGCACCACATAAGTGCAGGTACCCGAGGAAGCTAGAAAATGGCATTGGATCCTGTGCAACTGGAGATATAGTTGGTTACAAGATACCCGATGTAGAATCTGGGAAACAAACCCAGGTCCTCTGCTGGAACAGCAAGTGCTCTTAGCCACTGAGCCATCTCTACAGCCACCACAAATGACTTTTTAAATTCCTGGTTACTTACTGCCTCCTCTGTGCTTGATAGGAGCTCTCCTAGGATTGTGGTTCTCCTTGGTGAGTTGGTATGCAAATTTGCATTCAAGCTTTTTCTTTCCAGTGCAGAGCCTTTAGGTGCAGCTGGGTTCCTTCTCTAAGCTGAGATGTTCCCACAGAATAAACCCTGAGTCATCTGCTGGTAGGAAGGGGAGTGGCCTGCTGCACAGAGGTCATACAAGGGCATCTTCAAAGCTTTCTTATGAGATGCTCAGCCTTTTCTTCAGTCTCATCCCACTTCCTCATGTTGCTGATGCTCCTTTTCTGGGGTTTGGCTCATTCTGCAGAATACAGTTTCTTGTTTATGGTGTACTCCACTCTGGCTGGCTGAGATTTCAGCTTGGAGAATCTGTCAAGTCATTTACTGTTCAGTTATGCACGTTCATGCTTTGACTCATATCCTCTGCAAACGGGAATGTTTTGACTTTCTTCCTTTCCTGTTTGTGCCCTTGTTATTTGCTTCTCTTCTCTTACTGCTTTGATAAGACCTCCAGTCTTACATTGAATGAGAGTGGAGAAAGTGGGCGCCTTTGTCTTAATACTGATCTTAGTGGAAATGCTTCAAGATTTTCCCCATCTGAATATAATATTGACTATAGGTTCATCATATTTAGCATAAGTCCCTTCTACTCTGAGTCTCTTCAGAACTTTTAGCAAGAAGAGACATTAGATTTTGTTAAATGCCTTTTCTTTTTCTGTTGAAATGGCTGTGTGATTTCTATCCTTGGAACCATTTATGCAAGTTAGGACAATTATTGATTTACATATACTGAACCATCTCTTTGTCCCTGGCATAAAGCCAACATATTTATGATGAATGATTTTTAATACATTCTTGAATTCAGTTATCAAGTGTTTTGTTGAGAAGTTTTGTATCTAAGTTCATTGGGGAGATTGTTCTGGACTTTTCATTTTGTTGTTGCATCTTTGGTCTTGGTATCAGGACAAAACTAACTTCATAAAGACTTTGGTCACATTCCTCCCCTTTTATTTTGAGACGTATTGGTAATAGTTCATTGAAGGCCTGATGAAACTCACCAGCAAATGCATTGGGGCCTGAACTTGTTTTTAGTTGGGAGACTTTTAATTACTGCTTCAACTTCACTGTTTATTATAGATCAGTTTAAATTGTTTATCTCATCTTGGTATAACTTTGGGATATCATGTATGTCTAGCAATTCATCCATTTCTCTTAGATTTTTCCAATTTAGTGGAATGTGTGTTTTCAAGATTAGCTCTAATGATTTTTGGAATTTCACTGGTATCTGTTGTATTGGCTCCTTTTTGTCTCTAATTTTATTTATTAGAGTCTTCCAATCCATTTGGTTTATTTGGCTAAGGGTTTGTCTATTTCATTTATCTTTTTTCTTAAGAACCAGGTCTTTGTTTTGTTGATTTTTTCCATTTTGTGTTTGTTTGTTTATTTCCATTTTATTGTTTTCTGCTGCAAACTTAGTGTTTTCTTTGGGGCTAGTGATTTGAGGTTTACTTGCTCTTTTTCCAGAACTTTGCTAAATTACTTATCTGTGATCTCTCTGGTGTCTTACTAGAGGTACTTGGAGCTGTAAAATTCTCTCTTAAGACTGCTTTCATTGTATCACATGGATTTTGTTATGTTGGGGTTTTTTCATTTTAATTTGATTATAGAAATGCTTTTATTTCCTTCTTTATTTCTTCAAGGGCCTATCCACCATCCAGTGTTGTGTCTTTAAATTCCCAAGTTTTTGTATGTTCTTGGGTTTCTCATGCTGTTGATTTGTTCTAATCACATTCTAATATGATCAGATAGAAGACAAGGAATTATTTTAAATTTCCTAATATTCATTGAGAGTTGATTTGTGTCCTAAATACATTATCTATTTTGGAGGATATTACATTAACTGCTGAGAAAAATGGATATTCTGCATACTTCCTGCCTGGCTACATCCTGCCTGTTCATTGGCCAAAACAGCTTTATTCAGCAACCAATAAGAGAAACATATATTCACAGCATACAGAAGGACATCCCTTATCATCCTACTTTTTGATGCAGTATACTAGTTGGTGCCTTTTTTAGTAGTGAATTGAGACCATTATTCAGAGCATTGGTTCTTACCATTTTGCTGACTTTGTGGTGTCTGGTTTGGTTCTCTTGCATACTATTATTCTATTTCCTGTAGCCTTATGGATAGAATTGTTTTCTCCTCAGACCAAAGGAATTCCTCCAACTACGTTCTGTAGAGCAGGCTTGATGGTTACAAATTCCTTTAGCCTATTTTTGTCTTGTGAAGTTTTATTTTTCATTCAGCTATGGCAGAAACTTTGCTGGGTAAAGTTCTCTCAGTTGGCAGTTATTGCCTTTCAGAACTTGAAATAATCCTTCTAGGATTCCTGGATTTCAAAGTTTTAGTTGAGTAATTCCTTCTTGTTCTGATGTGGCCTGCCTTGTATGTGGGCTGCTGCTTCTGTCCTGCAGCTTCTGGTATGCTCTCTCCTCTGTAGATATAGTGTTTATTATTACATGATGAGGGGAGCTCTTTTCTGATCTTGTGTGTTTGGAGTCCTAATTGCCCCCTGTGTCTGGACTGGTAACTTTTCCCCTAACTCTGAGAAATTTTCTATTAAGATTATTCTAAAACTGTTTTCTATGCCTTTAGAATGAGACTTTTCTCCTGTTCCCATTATTTTCGGTTTGGTCTTTTGAGAGGGTCTGTGTGTCTTGAAATCCCCATTGTTTAGTCGTAGTTGTCTCTGTGCTTGTCAGATGGCTCCAGCTATTCCATCTTGTCTTCAGGCTTGATATTTTATCCTGTTCATTATCCATTGTGTTGCTGAGATTTTCCACAGAGTTTTAAATTTGACTTACTGATTTTTTCTACCATTTGAGATTGTTTTTTTCCCTCAGATTTCTTTGTTGAATTTGTGTTTCATATCATATCACCCCCACCTTTATTTTCTTCAGCTATTTAAGTGTGTTCTCCATTAGCAGTTCATTTTCCTCTCTGATTTCTTTGAACATACTTATCATCATTTTGATTTCTCTGCCTTGGATATCCTCTAACTTACTCTCCCTAGAGGCCATCATTGTAGGGTTAATAATTTCTGGAGGAGCTATGATGTCTTAGTTTTGTGTGTTTTGGGGGGGGGTCACTGTTGGGATTTACACAAGTGCTGTTGCTTTTCATCAGCTATTTTATTTCAAGGGAAGTACTTACAGTGTTCAAGTGTGGGACCTGGTAGAGAGTGTGGGGGTCACAAAATAATTGCTCAGTCTGTGTGCTCTGGGTGCCTGTTGTAAGCTCTGTATCATTCCCTGGACAGGTTGTTAACTGCTGAATATTATCAATATGCAAATGTAACAGCCAGCTATCAACAGAGACAGTATGGAGTGCACTACAATTTTAGTTAATTAGATTAGGATTAAAAGTTAAGTAGGAGGATGAGGATTAAGTGTTGGATGGACTTTGAAAAGAAAGGAAAAATGAGGTGGGTGAAGAAACTTGGATGCAAAAGTTGGGATCCTGTTAAGGCATACGAATTTTAGAGATGTTAAAGCTATAGATGGTTATAGTTGAGAAGTAAAAAGAGGAGTTAAGGATGAGAGAAGGAAGGGAAGGCACTAGAATAAGAGGAGCACATCAGAGGTGTGGTTGAAGAGCATAAAGAACGGTGCTATAGAGTAGGCTGAAGAAGCAGAGACAGTCCTGTAGTCTAACTGAGCAGCTTACAGACAAAACACAGATGTTCTGGGCATGTAGCTGAGACTAGGAGGTAAATCACAGAAAGTAAGGGCTAAAAGGAGTGTTCACGGAGTGAATTGCTGGTACCACTGAGCTGAACTGAAAGGTGAAGTTCTTATGTCCCTCCTGCTCTGGCATGTTTCACCCAGTGCTGTGGGAGCATGGTAGCAGGGGCTTTGGTCTCTGCAGCCTCTGTGTAGGTCCTTTTCTGGTTGATCTCTGGGGCCTCTGCACTCCCTATGTACCTCTTCTGGTCCTGGAGATCCTGTGTATTTGAGAAAGTACACAGGAACCTTAAAGGGCATCTTAGGACCCAGAAGGGTCTTCCTTGAGTTTCTAGTATTATCAGGGAAACTAGAAAGGAAGTTGTTTGAACTTCCTATTTAAAATAAGAACATTTAGAAGGGCTTTGTTCTCAAATGAGCTGTTATTATTTGAGATGCATGAATATGTATGGAAGCCAGCCATTAATACAGCATAGATATGCAAATATGTCTTTACCCAAGATTCTCTCTCCAGGAATCAAACCTGATCTAGAGACATGATCTCTCACCAGGTGCTGGAATTAGCAAAATAAGCTTTCCAAAGAAAGAAAGGGGGGATTGTGGAAAAACCTTTTAAACATTCCCTATCCTCTGTTCTTAGAGGATATTCAAAAGGCTTTGTGCTTTCCTCACATTGAAGGTATTCACTTACAGTAGTAACCTGGAGCTGTCACCTCCCTCCATCTTCTCTCTGGTAGGAGACTGTGGATGCCTTTAGCATCCACCCAGGAGGGAAGGCTGAGACTCAAGGAGCTCACCAGGTCTGCAATGATTCAATGCCAGCACAGGGTTTGTTCCTGAAGGGACCTATCAGGGTGTATTCTCTAGTGTAAGGAACCAGAGGCTGCTGCCCCATTACAAGCTAGAGGGATGTGGGAAGGAAACTGGCAGTTTTCCTCTTAGGCTCGTGGTCACTCGTTGTTAGGGACACTAGGGAAATAAGGGGAGTGGGTTAAATATGGATGAACATCTCTCCTGGTCAGCCATTAGTGGAGACTGGTTGAGCTGGGAGATCAAAAACCTAGACAAAAAAAAAAATTACTTTTGTTTCAGGAATTATCATTTTAAATGGGAATGGAGGAGCTTTACAAATGGGGATAAGTTTACGTCTAAACTTCCTGCTGGTTTTCAGATAGTTGGGGAAGGGGGTGGAGCTGTCTTTTCTGTAGTTCCCTTTTGCTGGTTAGGGCAGTCTCACACAGAGGTGGGTCTTATTCGTATCTGAGTCCCATGAGCTCTTCATCTTTGACTTCTGGGTTCTGGAAACATCCAGCCATCTTCCTTTAGGTTTTTTTCCTCTAAGACTGTCTTTATTCTTCCCACCTTTTACTGTCTTCATGTCCCATTTATTAGCCTCTTTTACTTTATCATTGTTGATCATCTTCTCTCTCTTTTTGTCATTACTATACAATACAATTCAATCACACTTTCCCCTCCCCCAACTCCTCCCAGATCCTCCCCATCGCCCTACTCACAT